GTGGCATTGAAGCTTATTTTTCCACAATAAAACGCAGACATAATTTTGAATCTACCCGCTTGGTGAAGGATTGCTACTTGTTTATTTTGCAGTTTCTATATGGCTACAGCTAGCAGGTGCTGTTTTCATTAAGGTGAGGATTTCACATTTTGTTTTCAAACATCAAGTTTTTGAATGAGAGTCCCAAACAATTAACTTTCTTTTGCAGTAAATGCCAGATCCTCCAGTTCAGGAATATGTTAAATATATTTGGTATGGAGAAGTCCAGTGTTTTGCTTTTTTATTCACAATTTCACAACAGCAACATTTTTTTTTAATTTATCACTCAGAAATACACACAAGAAGAGACTGCGTTGCAGAGAAATGTTGCGCTGAACGTGATATTCCAACTCGTATATAGTTTTATTGGGAGCCGATATAATATATTGCATTCCAATATCCATAATACGCTGAGTATATTGGAACCGTAAACCCTTATTGGATCCCCATACGACACATGGGGATCCAATAAGGGTTTATACGGTATTGGATTCCAATATTTTCAGCGTATTATGGATATTGGAATCCCATAACAAATCCTTATTGTAATACAATACAATAAATGTAATGTTTTCCAATACACTGTCGATATTGTATTACAATACAATAAAAAGATATTGTTTACCAATATCCATAACACGCTGTTCATATTGCGGTTTTCCAATAGGGATATGCTGACGATACAACACTTCTGTATGCTGCGGACGATCCTGAGGAACTCGTGTCAAAAGTAAATCTATTGTTAGGTCAGATATCGGTATGGACAAAAAAGAACGCTTTAAAAATAAATACAAGTAAAACTAAAGCCGTACTATTTCGACCTAAACATAAAATTCTCCCTCCAATCACCACCATTACTTTAAACTCGTTAAATATCGAATTAACTGATAATTTTAAAACACTTGGAGTAGTGTGTTCTCAGAATATGTCCTGGGATAGCCATATTGAACATTTAAATAAAAAATTGTCAAGAACTGTGGGTACTGTATGTCGGCATCGGTATTTACTTCCTACAACTGTTAAAATATTATTATACAAATCGTTATTTTATTCGCATTTAAATTATTGTTCGTTAGTTTGGGGTACTACCACTGCAACCAATCTTGAGAAGGTGCACCTGCTTCAAAAAAGAATGTTGCGAGTAATTGCGAACGTACCTTATCTTTCGCACACGGAAAACCTGTTTAAAAGTTATCATATACTCAGTATTTAAAATCTTTATAACTATAGGCTATCCACAAAAGTTAGGACAGAATTTCTTTACAACACTTCATCCCTGGTGGAATTGTCTGCCTTGGAACAACATATCGTACCATACCAAATTCGTAATCCAGATTACTGGCACGTACCAACGTGTCGGCTAAACACTGGCAAGGAAATGTTAGCATACCGAATCTCAAAGCTTCTAAATGTATTGCATTCTAAAGATGTCTTTATAGATAAATTAAGCCTGGGTGGATTGCGATCTGTCATGCATGATTTTGCATATATAGATTGATGCGATTTTTTTTCTTAGTTTAAAAGTGTGTTTTGTGTTGATTTGCGAATGTCAACTAATATGGTGCTCAGTGCCGTTTTCTAGTTTCATGTTTTATTTTTATTTTTTTTCCCGTATTCATTGTGATTATGCACGATTTTTTGTATATTGATATTTCCGACGCTTCTGCAGAATGTACTGGGGCTGAGAACTCGTCAAGCCGCGTAGCGCGGCTTTTTTTCTTGGCTCCACCATTAGGTGTAATGGAAATAAACTGTTATTATTATTATTATTATTATTATTATTTGAAATGAGTCTCCGTGCCCGTTGATTACAGGTCACCGACGCTCTGTGGGAGCGGTCAGGAAAGTGTTAAAACTCAAACCGTGCTGCGGCAACTGTTGCACTAGAAAATATGCTTCCATTCTCTTATGCGAACGATGGAACAGGCAAAACGCAGATAGTCATGATACGGAGATGAACAAAGATGTTTGTCGCAAGCTATTAATTTTTCTGTTTATGGAAAATGGCGACTGTATGGGAATGGCAACTCAATCTTTTCGTATTCTCTTGATCATTATTCATCTTAATTTAAGACTTGTTCAAAATCAAGTTCAGCGTAAATTATTTATTGTTATTTTAATTTATTTTTGTTTGCTGTTCAAACTAGTTTTGAAACATTTTCTACTTGCAGAAAAGCTGTTGGAGAACTTCGTGGCTGGAACGCAGCGGCTGTATAGGGACACTGCATTGAGCTTCAAGATCCACCAGCTATTGCACCTGCCGGAGGTGGCTCGTCACTTCGGTCCAATCTGGGGCCACTCGTCATTCGTCTTCGAGGGAGGCAACGCAGTAGGCTTGTTAAGCTTGTGACTGGCGCCAGTGGTGTCTCTCTGCAGATTGTCGAGAGGGTTGTCATGCAACAGCAGCTCGAGTCTTTTCTTGCGTCCCCACTGGTGTCTGACAGCGTTACACGTCTCTGTCGAGACATGCTAGGATACGCAACGCTTGAGAATGCTCTTCACCTGGACGATGTTGGCCTGCTTGGATATCAATGCCAGATAGCAACTCCTCAGGAGGTGAAGTCTGCTCTTGTGGGAAAGGTCTGCCCTGAGATGGCAATGGAGTATAACAGACTAGCCTACAAGGGGCACATTTTGCACAGCACGTCGTACAAAACAGCCACCAGTTCTGACTCCTCTGTTGTAGAGTGTGAGGATGGCAGGTACTTTGTCATTACAAAATTTTTTTCGGTGAGCAAGAGGGCATTTTTGCTCCGCAAGAAAGTTGTGTATGCGGAGAGTGGGGACTTTCCTGTGCACATCAAAGGGTGCTTTGTTTCGATGGTCCCGACAATGTATGTTGCGGAGCCATGCAAGGTGAAGGCACCGTGTCTTTTTATGAGGTTTGGAAATCCATCCGCCAGCTACATTTGCACGCTGCCAAATGACTTTGAGCGTGACTGAACTGAGGGGCAGCTCGCCCATCCATTTGGACATCCAGTATTTACTCAAATTTAATGCTTCCCTTTAAAGATGATCATAGTTTTATTGTATACTGATTGTTAATATACCGAATTCCAGATTACAAGTGCCTATTCATCTCGGGGCAATAATACCTAGGGAAGCACTGTTCTACGCAGTGTTTGATGATTTGGGCCACAATCGCATGTCCATGCCAGCAAATGAAGTATTACCTTGGAACATATATTCCTTCAAAAAATAGAGTCCACTTCGAAATGCAGTTTGCTCAAGTTATTTGTAATTACAGAAAGGTTTCCCTCTCGATCTTGCATTATAATCACAAACAGCAAAGTGACGAGACGGCACTTCTTTAACGCCTGATTGTTTGTTTACAAGTTGCAGTGTTTGCAAAAATCTACATTGTGTTGTGGTAAATAACAAATGAAATGCTTATAAGTTTTTCTGTGCAGTAGGACGTATATTTTAATTGTGTGTAGAACAGTATCTTAGAATGAACCACATGTTTTTGTATGCACTGTGATTCTTGCCTGTATGTGTGACTTCTTCCAGTTGAGAAATTTGTCTGAGAGTATCACCACAAGATGTGTGAAGCAGAAAAAGTTTAATCATAAAGTTCACATTCTGCACTTGTACCTGAACATGCCATGTAAGCAGATGATGTTTCAGTTCATGCTACCTCTGTGTATAAAACTTGTGCTAATTGATTCTTGAATTTGTGTACCATGATGAAGAATGCTATGTTAGCTGTATATATGTTAATATATGTTAATACATTTTTGATTCCACCATTAAATATATCTATACCAAACAGAAATTTGTTTGCTTTGCCCCTTGAATCTACTCCTTTTTATAGTTGTATGCACAATATTTTTATTTTATTCAGGGTACAAAAGAAAGTGCACGCAGATGTGCAAACCACTTTTTCGAGTTGGCTGGGACATTCCTTTTATATTCCACACTCAATAATAACTAGGTGTTATCTTTAGACATAAAACAAAAGAATTTGCAAGTGCAATTTTTATACCTCTAAAGGTTTTTGCAGGCAAATAATTTGCTCAGATTACAAATTTCGAAGTATATAATTTTTGTTGCTAAATCTTCCCTGAATTTTTAATTAAATTTTGTGAATGTTGTATAGTACCCAGTTTGCTAAATGTTCCTCTGGCATCTTTCTGTCCAGTGTGCTCAAACTGAAATTTGCAATCCTGGTACATCTTCCAGATTAAGCCCGACTTACTCAAATTGTATAGTATGTTTGCTTCACAGTTTGACCCGTGTTTGCATGCAATTTGGGTCTTATGCTCCGGGTAAGGTTCCGAGTAAAAATGAAGATTGTGCAAACTGTTTATTTTCTGTCCTGGTATATTTCTCTTTATAGGCCCAGACTGTTCAACCGTTTCTTGCAAGATCAGTTTATTTAATGGTTTATGCAAACCATATTTTTTCTATCCTGGTATATTTCCTGGTATGCGGACTCATGAGTCTATACCGGGAAATATACCAAGATAGAAGTTGGTTGAGGTCTGAAGACTCCTCAAAACGGTTGAGGATCAAGTCTGTAGACTCCTCAACCGTTTTTTTTTTTTTAAATACGGTACGTTTCCTGGTTTCGGCGAATCGTTTCTTTTCTTTCCCGGTATATTTCTCGATATAAACCCAGTTTGTTAAACCGTTTTTTCTGAATACGGTATGTTTCCTGGCATATTCAAACAGTTTTTCAGATTTCCGGTTTGTTTTTCATACTGTAATCATACTGTTTTTTTTTTTCGGTAGGGACCTCTTTTCTACTGAAACTCCTGGCCTGCAACTTAATTCAAGAGGGATAAAAATACCTCAGGCAAGTTCTTTTTTCAAAAAGAAAAAGTCTGGTCCGTCTAGTAAAAAGCCCCCTGTGTATCTAAAACGTGTCTATTAGGAATTTTTATCAACTACCCAATTTATTACCATTTCGTTATTAGTTTGCAAGACAGCTAGTCCTAAATTCAGAGTAATAGTATTAATCAATCTAGCCATGGAGACCAGATGCCGCCGTGGTACTCGGGGTATGCCCTGGGGTCGTCCTGCTGGTATAGAGGTGGAACCGCGGTGGAGTTGTAGGCATCCAACTTTTTCATCAGGAAACGAAGTGTCTGCATTCAAATTACCAAGAGTATCAAGACTTTGGGCTCCTTCCACGTTTCCAAATGCAGGCAGTGCATATAACGTTGCGGAGCGCCCGTGCAACAAGCCAATCAACATTCGTTAGAGCAACCTTGATGAAAACGACATAACCAAAGATGTACTTGACTTTTTTTTTTCTAGATTCTGCATTCGACATTGGCGGTTCACTCACTATATGTTCGTCGGATACGGAGGCTGTCGGGCAATTGCGTGCGGTATTCTTGATCGAATACCTACTGGAGGTAGTAGTTATTGGAATGAAGCTAGCGTAGTCACTAATGCATGCACGCAACCACTGCTATTTATAATTTTAATCTAGCAGGTGATCAGGCCCGGAGTACGTGACTTCCCCAAAGATATTCAATCTGCATAGGCTTCTGCAAAAAGGAAACCCCTCGTACACTGTGCCCCAGCGACCCTGGCGTTTTCGCAAGAAAACACTCTTTCTGTATTGTAACTTCCCGTTCTCCTTCATAGAGTAAAGTGGTTAACTACACTTCGCTTCACATCAAGTGCGGGCGCAACCGACACTACAACCGCGGCTTTCAATTAAAGAGTTTTAAATTACGCAACGTCAGGGCGCTTGTCATATATCTGTCCCTTTTCTATTATTGCTAAATCAACGCTGTACAGGGAAGGCGTCTACGTTTAGTATGTGTGTTCGTGTATGAACACAAACACACCGTTGAACAGTAGACGAGCTCGTCTTACATTCTCGCGATCACTAGAACAAGTTCCAATCGTGTTTTAATGATTTTTTTTCTAGTGCAACCAACTAAAATTTCAATCGCGATAATTTCAATCGCAATAATTTCGCATTGGTAAAGCAGTATGCTTGCAAAAGCACTTACAATAAATGCCGCATACGAGGCTACACGGCTGAGGAGCATGAGACCAATCGAGATTCTCATCGGCTAATGTCGAAAGAAGGAAGACCAAAGAGTGGTGTTTCGGTTGAAAGGCGGGATAGTATTGAAGCAGAGGCAGAGGCTCTGTGATTTCCTGCTTACCTTATATTACGATGAGTCCGCGGTCTGTAACTCACTGCGATTTACGGAACACACCCGGCAGTGAACGAGTCCCAAACTCGTTAACAAAATGTGCAGAGAGACAGTTAACGCAAACATAAATGGTTGTTCCTGCTCATCGTCCCTGCACAGATAGCAACTTTGAGCCCTAAAGTTTGTTTATTTTGGCTCACATCATCAGAGGCACGCGCTACGTAGATCGCAGTAACTCACCCACCGCGTTCACTGCTTGGATGTAAGGCAGTACCACCTAAACGACAAGGCTAGTGCCTTTTCGCCCATAATGTCATCAGTAATGGTACCACGCAGCGCCGCCTAAAAGTTTTCGGGATGAGTCGAAGATCCACTAGCGATGATGTAATGCGCCGGCCTTGTCTTCTAGGTGGTAATGAGTCAACACGAAGGCATTGTTTAAATTAAAGGAGCGGTGCAACGATATTCAATTGGAATGTTTTTCACTTGACACAAGCTTGCTGGCACACCCAGGACTCAAGGACACTCACACGCAACGCCACTGGCCAAGAAACTCCTTTGTTGCGGTGTAATTTCAAGGACAAAAGCGATCATTTTCATTCAATTTCTCTTTGCAAAATTCGATGACGTAACGTGGGGATCGCAGTACACCCAAGTGACGATATTTGAATGCGGTTCATAGATTGGACCCGAGCATTGCGCGGGCACTCGACTTGGGCTCGTGATAATTGCTAGCTCGAGAAGCATTCGGGTAGTGACCCGTGTCCAATCGCTGCAACGACGACAACAGCCGAGCCATAACAATGCCTGGAACTCGGCGCGTGTCGTACGCTTTTCCAACCCCTGCGCGTAGCTATGATCAACACTGGCGGCATATAATCGGCTCCAGATCACGGGGCCGCTTGTTCTGGCTGCGAGTTGAGGGGGTGAACGCTGCTCGTTTTTCTTTAATTTTTTTCTGGGACTTCTATTGCGTTGGTGAAAAACTAACGTATGTTTCATAGGTCATTAACGTTAGGGATCTGTTTTAAGCGGTATTTGCGAAAAGTACAAAAATTGCTGCATCGCTCCTTTAAGTACAACTTTGACAATGCGAGCTTACATGTCCCTTAGTTTTTGCCAAATTGTTGAGCTCGCAGGGGTCCTCCTCGATGTTGAATAGGTACGGCGGCTGCATCGGTACGAAGTTCTCAGTCAGCCTATTTCTTCGACAGTCCACGGCCACGTTCTTGCTCCAGGCCAGAGGCGACCAAGACCGATCTTGTTTCTCGTAGAACTCCTTGAGCACCCGTGCCATCGTTGATTGGTTCCTCAACTGGTCGATGTTATTGGTGGGGCGCGTACCGCCTGGAAAATAGTAGTGGTCGTCCAAGTCGCCGTCAAAACCTCCGCCCACCACGAGCTTGTACTGTTTGTAGCGCAGTCCAGAAATGTTGTACAATGAATCAATGTTGAGAAGGATTTCCTTTCGTTTAGACGCGGAGCCGTGGGTCAGCGAATGCCACATGTCGACCCCGTCGATCCCGCCAAGAGCAGACGCGTTCCCGCCTGTGAGAAAGTTCGAGAAGCGCGTTGGTCAGTATGGTGCACAATTCACCGGGCAATGTATACGTTCTTAAAGCTACCTTAGCATCTAAACCAATTCAAGAACAACAGTGATTGGAGTTTTGAGTGCATCGCAGGATAGCGTACATATCCCTGAGAGTGTATTGTCCACCCTCGGGTCACAGGATGAGCCACGCTTCAGATTATACCAACACTTCAGCTATTTTCGTGCCTAAGAGTTATTTAAGGATATTTTTGAAATTGCTGGAAATTTATTTCCGTCGTCCAGAAATAATAAAGGAGTTCGTCAAAAAGCAATACAATATCGCCTGAGCTTCGAGAAACCATATCTGAAACTTATGAAGCCACATTTTCGAATCGTATAATTATCGCCCATCGTGCACGAGCTACAGTAAGAACCAGAATGGTGCCTAGCGACAAAGATAATTCGAGAACGGAATAACGATACAATGAACGTATCTGATTGATTGACTCAAATCCACTCTACGCTATCGATTGCAAGAAATTCGAAGCAGGCCAAGTAAGCACGTTTACATCAAGTCGTCGCATAGAAAACAATTCAAACTTAATGACATACTTATATTGTGCGGTTGGGAAACCTCGCCTGTACTAAGTATAAGTCATTTTAGTTTATCATACTGTTGTGTGCTTTAGCGAATGATTATTATCTGACTTCTGGCCAGGGACTTAAATTTCGGTAATCATTTTATTAACCCCAATGACACTTGATAATAGATGAAAAAATATTATCAAAATATTGTTAGGATGATGCTGTCGGCAGCGTAGATGACAGGACAGGCCATGACAAAAAATTGAATAGTTTATGCATGAAGACCAAGCCGGCCCGTGGGTCCTGGAGCGAGACAGTCGTGCGCGCCACTGCCCCGTCGTCGTCTTCATCTTCTTAACAATATGTGAATAGATGACATAGTGTACATTTCACTTCTTTTAAATTTCGTTAAAAAGACACGATTAAGCTCATGTTCACTCCAAAGGCATAATAGATTTTTTTTTTTTGCCTTGAACGAGCGAAAAATCTGCAACATTCTTAAAATCTAGCTTACTTTACCTCTCAATGAAAGCATTAAATAATTTTGTCCGAACAGCAATTCAAATTTTTATACGCGAAATGTATTGTGTTCGCCTTGTTTTGAAATAATTTCGTAAAATCGCTGGAAAGTTTTTTTTCCTGCACTCATCTGGTGTCCCATATTGACAACGTCAACTAAATTCTGAATCAGTTTACATTAGACGAGTTACAATTTGCTTATTTTATTTCTTATTTATTTCCATGCGAAAGTGAATTTTTAGTGTATAATAAAAGGATAGATAGTGAAGTGCACTCAAGTTGCTACTTCTAATTTTTATTTGCAAAATATCCCGTTAGACCTCTATTACTTGCAGCGTTTGATTTTGAACAACTCCAAGTGTTGATAAAAATGATGATGACGACGAACAATATTGCAGACAACAAAGTGCTATGGCAATATTGAAAAACAATTTTCTACCGAAAATCTCCACCTTCCTTACCTGCTGCCGTGTACAGTGTGGGAAGCCAGTCGCTGATGTGCATGAGCTGGTTGGAGACGCGGGACTTCTTCAGGAGCTTTGGATTCCAAACGAAAGCCGGAACTCGGACACTGCCTTCCCAAAGAGTGAACTTAGCTCCCCGCAGCGGCCAGTTGTAGCCCCGATTGGATTCCAGTCCGTATGGACTTCCGCCGTTGTCAGAACTGAAGACGATGATGGTGTCCTCAAGAATGCCGGCGCTGCTTAGGGCCTCCACAACCCTTCCCATGGACTCGTCGAGGGCGTCTAGCATTCCTGCACAGAGACGTGTGTCTGGCTGTTCATTTGATTTATATTAGCTCTGTGAATCACAGCGGCATTGTGGCAACCACATTGTTATCAGTACATGGGTGCGCTAAAGGGCAGTGAAACCAAATGGGGTTTCACTGCCCCTTTATAGAAGGTTACTAGTAGGACCCATATACACCCGTACACAGACTACTGACCAGGAAGCTTCTTCGTAAACCTTAATTTTAACCATGAATGGAAAGGTACTTTTGAAACCGGTAATTTTGAAAATCGAAATAAAGGTTTTCCTTCAGTCTCTCAATCGCAAAACATCATGAATTTGTGAGGATCCCATTACTGGTACTGTGAACAAGGCGATCCTAATGATTTCGCCATCAAGCTTTGCGATCTCCGGGTCCACTGTATGAGCCGCATATTGAAATTCGGCTAATATAGTGGACACGGGCTATGTGTCAGCACAACATTTGGGCTCGTGACATTCAATGCCTCGATATGCATTGGGTAATGACTAGTGTCCAACCGCTGGGATGTCATTGAATCGTCAAAGATTAACAATGTGTGGAACTCAACACGTGCCCAGTGATTGCCAACCTCAGCGCGTCGTTAACATAAACATTAAATAAACGTCTCTAAATCACGTGGCCGCTTTTTCTGGCTGTGACTCGCGGGGGTGAACGCCGTTCGCTTTTCCCAAATTGTTTCTGCGACTTTCATCGCAGAGTAAACAAAGCGAACGACGCTTGTTTCATAGGTTATGGATCGCGAGGAATACTTTTACGCGCTATTTACTGCAGGTATATAAAAAAAAAACAGTGCAGCGTTAGCTTAAAAATTCGCTGACAACCCAAACATATAATTTGGGGTGTCAGTGGCTTTACCTTCCGAGCGGCGTTTGGAACTGGAATCGCGGGCTAAGAAAGTGTCCAATACAAACTTTAGATTGAATTTGTCTTTCCCTTTCTTATACCAAGTGAACAGCATAAACTTGCGCACCCCGGATTTTCTTAGAGATTCCAACCTGAGCACGTTTAGATTTCCGAACGCCACACTCAAGCGGCGCATACATCATGCAAAATACACAGTATCCACTTGACACATCATGACAGAAGGACTTACGAACACGCCCCAAGTGAGTGCGAACTCAAAGCATGCTTTCTTCATATATATATATGTGTTTCGAACCTGTCTATAAACGGTTTTCCTATCAGATATTGGACGAGATCGTCATATAAGGAAGAAACTTACTTCGGACAATGCCTGGATATTGACTTTCGTATGATTTATTCGCAGTGTGGACACGGCTTAAAGGGTAACTCCCGTACAATTTCTCGGTTTTAGGGTTAGAACGGTTTTTACTGAAGGAAGTGGCCCTTCAATAAAGGCACACTTCCTTTTTGCATGCGTTGTGTGATTTTATAGGCCATCTCAAAACTTTGTTCTTGGGCCATGGCCATCGTGTGATGCAAAGTTCGAATTATAGTACCGCAAAACTTACAACAGGCCAAGTTGCAAGAACAGTTCCGATCAATCATGTAAGATGGTAGGGCTGTACTAGGGCTTTGCTTTGCGGATATCCGACATCTGTAGCAAATATGAATACACATTCATAAAGTTGCTGGCCGAAAGGCGAGTTTGCCATGATGAACGCTGGCTCGGAACGAGCCGCCATTTATCTTCTAAGAACTACAATCATTGTGGTGGGATATGCACGTTGCTTAGCCCTAGTGGGAGCTAATCATAAGCTCGCGTTGAGAAGGAACGGACTGAACTACGGCCGCCAGTCAATGCCACCTTCGGAACCACGGCCCGCTGGGGCGAGCAGGGATTCAATAATTTTCGTGCGCGATCACCGCAGAGCGCTTACAAACTACGGCCTCTAAAGCATAACATAACAAGCAGAAATCCTACACTGGGACGACTAAAACGCAGCAGAAAAACACGGTGAAAGAAGTGGCAGTAGGAACAAGAAACCTCCTTCAAAAAAAAAAAAAAGATGATCATCAGGTCACAAGGTTGTTTGACAAACAGCAAACCTACTGAGTGTCGGCTGAGAAGCTGCATGGTGGCAGCATTTTTAACATTGTTTTTAGAGTGGACCTGTTTTCCATTAATGAAACATTTTGGCAGCGCTCGTATTTAGTCTCCGTAAATTGATATTACTCATTTACTTTGGTTCAACCTTTGACTGGAGTAACCCTTCAAGCAATCAGTAAGGCAATGCAAGTCGTTAATACCCTCAGATCTTCATAAATGCATTGTGCACTGGGATACAAAAAAAAAGAAGCAATTTCTGATATTAACCCAAATCACTTCAGTCAAAAATTGACTATGCAGACTAGGTGGAAAAAGTGCGTCCAACTTTTTTTCCTCTCTACAGTGTGGTGTTTATTACAGTCATTGGTCTTCCTATTTGTTGAATAGTTAAACGAATACCATTAGTTGATGCTTTCATTACATCGGGGCGGAGTATATATATTTTGTAGTTCCGAAACTGTAGCCCTGTTAGCACGCTGTACATTTTTTTATTATTTCACGATATTACCACCCCGATAGGGGTCCATTAAACGAGGAGAAAGACTAACATCATTGATAACACGACACAAAAAATAAATGGGAGAACAAAATACAAACTGTTCACGAAGAGATGTTCAGCTGATGCAGGAATCTGTCAAGGGAGTCGGCGTGAGAGCTGCTGGTAAGTAGGTTTTACCAATATAATATAATTCGAGTGAAAAAATGAATATTTAAAGCAGTCAATGTTAATCTGGAAGCTATCTAATGTTCTTGTGTCGGAGGCCTTAAAATTGGTCCTAGGGGAAAAGCTAATGGGGCGGTCTGTACTGATATGAGGATCACCCGTGATGATTTGGTAGAGCCTATTTACTCTATCATTTTTAGCGGTAAATAAGGCGTGCTAAATCACTTTTTTCCTTTAATACCTATAATGAGTCATATCGGCCAACTTCGTTGAAAATGAATCATAGATCCTTTATTTGGATCATGTCCAAGCTCTCTACAATAAGAGCCATGTAGGGGCCCCAGAAGACCTTTACCTATTCAAATAAAGTCCAAATTATTGTTTTTTTAAGGGAGTAATTTACCTTCAGTTATAAAAACTTTGAGTAAACGTTTTATCTGCCATAATTTGTCCGTAGCTTTTGAGGTAATAAAAGCGATGTGTGAGTTCCAGTAACGATTCTTTCAAAGGGTAACATCCAAGTATTTTTATTCGACTTTGAGTGTATGTTCGTGTGAACTGCACTGAAAAATGCCGGGAGAATTTTCACGAGTGATCGACATAGTGAGGCATTTAAGGCCTTTTCACACATGCAGCGGGGCGCTATCGGCGACGTGCGCGATGGAAAGCGTCACTGTGGTCGGCCTTCCACGATTGGCCGAATGCTGACTAAGACGGCAGCAAAGGCTTTCTCATATACAGAAATGAAATTACTGTAGGAACCTAAATTCTGACGGTGTTGGCAGTGCTGGTTTTAATGCGCAATGACTTCAAGCTTCCACCATGCTCATTACAAAAACGATCGACCTTGTTGCTCCCAAGATAATGACGTCATGAGGGGGAAACATAGGAGGGCGCCACCAAAATATCTCGCCGCTAATAGGCATAGCGCTGACCTCGCGCTAAACGCGTGCTGACGGGAACTTTCACCAGCTTTTTATCGCATCGTCAAAAGCGTTGCTTACGGCAGACAATAAGCAACTGACGACACGTGAGCAGCGCTTTATCAGCGCTTCGCTGTATTGTGAGGGGCGCCGATCCATCTGCCACGCCCTGCGCCAGCCAGGGTTCTAGATAGGCGCCTGTTTAGTTTAAGTTGGTCGTCAGGTGAGTTAACATGACAATTGAGTGAAAGCTTCAGAAACACAGGGCTTATTAAGTTCATGCTGCTCACGTCGGAATTTGTTCTTCGACGTTAAGGGCCAATAGCGCAATCTCATTGGCTGCGGAACGATAACAAGACGCCCGAGATGCCTTGCATTTCTCAGATTGTATGTTACTATATTATCTTTTTCACTTCATCAAATAGCCAAAAATATTATATTTAGCCCGCAATTAAAGCACGCAAGTCGCAAAAATAAATTGAAGATATTAAAACTAAGCATAGTGGTTCCAAAGAACACAGTGGAACTGATGATGATGATGATGATGATGATCATGCGGCTGTTCTCTTTAGATCGGGCGGGCTCGAACAATGTTCATGCCCAAGCCTGGGGGCATCTGCGTGTTATTCCCCCTAAGGTAGATCTTTCTCCACCAGTCCTCTAATCTTTTCTTTGTTGCCTCCACAGACGGCCTACGGGGGCCGCTGAAGGCCGTAGTCTCGTTCGAGGCAGGCCTGTCCGCTGGTGCGGATGGCCTAACCTCAATGGTTTGGTGCCCATTTCTAGTAACAGTGAAGCCCAATACTTCGGCAAGCTCCAGAGGGCTTTGAAGGTCTCGGTCGTTGTCTCGTGACCGAGATGGTCGGAGTCCGGTACATTCCAGTACAGTGTGTTCTACTGTTTCGTCGTGGGCCCCGCGCACCCGGCACACGCTCGTGGTCACGGTAGAAGCGAAGTGTCGTCTGTAAGGCAGGGTCCTTAGTGCCCCGGCTCGTGCGTCAAATAGCAAACGACTACCCTTGGCTATTATCGTATAGCCTAGCCTCCGGGCTGATGGTCCTCTTGTTTGCAACATGCACATCGAGCGTAGTCTTCAATTGGGCATCTTTGAGCTCCTGCTGTGTTTCCTGGTCGCAAACCTTTTTCCGGACCTCTCTCACCCATTCCCGCTTGGCCAGGGTCGGCAAAAAAAACCGTACTTGCTTTCGAGCTGGTATAGGCGTTTCTGCCAACGGGTCTGCGGCCCAGTCAGTTGAGTGTACCAAAACAGCCTTTTGGCCCACCGGCAGGTGTCCATATGTCGGAAACGTCCGTCGTAGGTGATTTTGCTGGTAGCTTCAAGGGCTTCAAAAGAACAGCGTCCCAAATCACCCTGGACAGCCTTATTTGGTACTGTACCATGACAGCCTAGCGCTTGGCGCCCGACCTCCCTCTGCCTACGTTCTATGTGAGCTCGGATATCTCCAGGGACACACACTACAGCGTTAGCAAACGTCAGTCCTGGTGCCACAACCGCCTTCCACAGCTCCCGGGTCACAACGAATCTATTGCAACTCCAGAGATTCCGTCTGCGCAGAACGCTGGTTCCTCTGATGGCTGTTTGGCGAAGATAGGCGTGGTGCTCTTGCAAGTAGTCCTCTGTATTTGTGAGTGTAATGCCGAAGTACCTGTACGAGTTCCTTACAGGTACACAGTCCACCCCGAGTCGAAGACTACCAAATGTTGGATCTTATGGACCTGCAAACAGCACCGCTGCTGACTTGTTGGTGTTGAATTTCAATCCATGTTCTGTTGCTACCTCGGAACAGATATCTAGGATTTTCTGCATGTCGCAGACTGATGCCGCGGTCAGTACTACATCGTCTGCGCAGGTAAGTCCGGGTAGAACCCATTCGACTTCCTGAAAAAACCGGCGGCGCCAGTGAGCGCTCCGACGCATTATGGGAGCAGTGAGGGTGTCGCAAACTCTAGCCAAGCCACGACTAGCATTGTCGAGATTTTGCATGCTAGGTGGCGCACGCTACCACCCGAACTGCAGCAACTTTTTAATTCCCTGCATGCATCCAGGCGAGTTAAAGGTCTCCAAACGTTGTTGGGACGAGCTGTGTTTTTTTTTTAATTATTATTGTCAAATTAAAACAGCATGTGCCAACTAGATCAAGTAATTCCTGTAGCAAAACAAAAATAGAAAGTTATATGCGTGAATGATATCTCGCTGTTTTGGTGCGTGGCCCACGCGCAATGGTCCATTTCAACAATAACAGCAGGTCATCCAGAACGATGGCCCATCCAAATAGGGCAGTAGACAGACGAGCTGTGGTTGAGGGTTGCTCACCTCATGTGTGCAACGCAGCGCCGCCCAGGACGCTGCAAATATTGCCGTCTGGCGCACACAGGGACCCAACGCGGACGTAGGCAATGCCGTTCCCACAGGTGGTACGGTGGTAGCAGCAGACGACGGTGCAGCGACACTCACTGTTCCCATAATGCCTCACGCACGCCGCTTCAGGACGCTCGCTACTTTCCAGAAAGGTACATTAGGAGACCACAAGACGGCACGACACGTACATGCTAAACTATACTAGAAACGACGTCAGTTAAATAATCGCTAAAGTTCATACAAGTGCGAGTGAGAAAATGACGAAAATGACTGGACGCATAGACCAGTAAATTTAGAGTGATTGTAAGCTAAGTCCGGAAATTATTTCATATTTTACCTGCGTAAATGGTCCTGTTTGGCTCTCCAATATATGAAAACTTGAGAACGTTGCGTGCTGGAGCTTGGAACATCTCTGCATTCAACGCATGGTGCACTGCCTGATGACTGATGTAGCAAAAAAACGGCTGCGGATAAAAGTTGAGCGGGGAATCTGTTAAAAACGGTTCCACACCACACCACCACAGGCGTCAGACACAAGTTAAGAATGCACCAGGAGCTCGTTCCACATCTTTTTTTTTTTTCTTAGAGCGCAGCTCTTAGGCGCGTGTTTCCGGCTTGAGTGGCGTCACCGTCGGCGCCGTCGGCGTAGCTGCGCGTAACCCTCGTAACCCTCGTGAGGGTTACGAGGGTTACTCTCACGAAAGTTACCCTCACGAGGATCACGAGGGTTACCCTCGTAACCCTCACGAGGGTTACAGGGTTAGTTACCCTCAAAAGGGTTACCCTCCGAGGGTCACGAGGGTTATGAGAGTTACCCTCTCGAGGGTCACGAAAGTTAGCCTCACGAGGGTCACGAGAGTTACCCTCCCAGGGGTTACTAGGGTTACTTTCACGAGGGTCACGAGGGTTACACTCACGAGGGTCATAAGGGTTAAGCCCTAAGGTCACGTGACCCCCACTGAGTTCACGTGACCCTCCTGATGTCATGTGACCCCTGAAGTCCCGTGACCCTCTGAGGTCACGCGACCCCCCCCAGGTCACGTGACCCCCCTGAGATCCGCACGTGACACCTCAGGGGGCACGGGGTCACGTGACCCCCACGAGGTCACGTGACCCCTGATGTCACATGACCCACTAAGGTCACGTGACCCACTCAGGTCACGTGACACCCTGAGGTCACGTGACCTCAGGGAGTCACCTATCCCTCAGTATCCTTTGATCCTCCTCCTCAAGAGCTGCGCTTTAATCCGGCGTTACAGAGAGTTGTAAGCGGCTTTAATTTTACATTGCCAGACAGTGTTCCTTAGTGATTCACAAAGAGATATCTACCGAGGCGCACTTCACGCGGACTTCACTTCGAGCGGACTACTCACACTTAAGAAGAACAAGGCAGGCTGGACAGAGAAAAAACAGCTTTATCCGAACAGGCCCAGCAATTGAGTGCTCCCCCTCCCCCTTAGAGTTATTATAAACTACAGTAGAGTATAATCTAATGTGCGGTTTCAAATTGAAGCAGACAGCAACAAGTCTCAAATTGACTTCCGTTAATGCAAAAAATATTGGGTTGTGAGTATGTTTATACAGCCTAGAACTTTGCCTGCCTCAACGGGCGACGAGTCCCCCAGCCGTAGATGAGCAATTTAGCCAGCGCAATACAACCGCTAGCCTGGGGCCTTTAACGTGCATCACGTAGAATTAATACAAGATTTAACGCCGGTACGATGCTCATCCAGATCAAAACGGGCAGGGGTGGAGATTGAACCTATCTGCAGCGCGATCCTCGTCCGGTAATGCATTTCTATGGGGACAAGTGAGTGCATTTTCTTCCTGCGCTTGATTTTAAGAGCAAATATCACGAATAATCTGTACCTACTAGGTAGGCTGTTACATTTCAAAATCGCGCAGACAAGGTTATTACTCGGTTTTGCGCTTTTCCTTCGAATTTGTGGCATTAAAATGGTGCTAAAATGGCTTCGTACACATATGTATGTGCATTGTCCGACAGCTTTGGCGCAAACACGGCACTGTTGTCTTTTTCTGTTTTTTCTTTTTGTTTTGTTTTGTTTTTTGCAGGGAGGCTTACGTGTTTAAGCAGTGACGAGAATTTCGATAATCAAGGGTGACGTCAAGAGAGGTCACTAACACTGGGTCAGTACCTATTTGTGCATGTAAACGATCAGTATAAAGTGAAACCCAGTAATGAGTGCACTTTTCAATAAATAAAACAGTCGTTTCATTCCTTTTGCTGATCATGTAGGGGTGCAAAGGCCAGTTTCGTCTAGTGTTCGAAACTAATATCTGCGCGCTCGAAAACTTCTAAAATGAAAAAAATTCGGGAAACTCTTCCCGCCCGTGGGGTTGGGCAGAATAATTAAAAGAAAAACACACTTTATAGTGTGCGAGCTGTTACTGTTTCACGCGTTTAAACCGCTCGTATATGGGGGTCGTTTTAGTAGCATCAAAAAACCCTAATCTTATCAATATTAGCGTCACTGGGATGTTGGCCCTTCTTCAAGTCCTAAGTTTTCTTCGACTGTTATTCTCGCATGGATTCGCCGCTTGTCTTTATACACTTGCCGTCGAGCATAGGACTAAACCCCGAATACTAAGAAGTTAAACATCGCTCACTGATCGGAAATCACTTCACCTAAATCAATTTTCCATTCATAATGCTAATAAAGTTACCTACTATCCACCACGACACAAGTAGCAAAGATAATTCCAGTTATTCTCCGTCCAAGAAAAAACCAGACGCGCGTTTTCCCAAAGGATTGCTGAGAAGCACCGCAAAAGTGCTGTGGTTGCAGTCAGCGTCAATGTGAAACCGCAAGTGCCATAGACACTAGCAGCAATGGAACCTCTAGCTAGGTGCATTAAAATAACTCCATTCTCCCCCCTCATTTGTCCTAAGCTGGCGCCAAGGCTTTTCTTTCTCTTCACAGGCACACACGTCACGTTATTCTTCATGGCCATGGTCTTCTCTGGTTAGTCCGCAGAAGGATTTCATGACACGGTGTTACACACTAAGAAATGCCTTCGCGTCTACTTACCCGCAAAACACTCAAAGAGCCAATCTCTGCGACCTACAAAATCGACTCAACGAATGATGAAAAGGAACATCTGTATAGACTGCAAAATTAAGTCGGCGCTGTGGCATTACGCAATGCTAGCATGACGGTTTGCATTGCGTAGTGCCACAGCGCGGACTTCATTTTTAGGTCTAATCGGATGTTCCGCCTCATTATTCGCTAAGCTCATTTCGTGGACCACAGAGATTGGGTTTTTGAGGGCTTGCAGGTAAGTAGACGCGCAGGAATTTCTTAGGATTAACGGGGTATGGTGTCTATTTGAAGCACACTTAACTTGTATTCGACAATAGCAAACACTGCGAGCGCCTTTAGTTACCTGATGTGAATATCCACGTTGTTTCTAACTTCAAAGAACTATCACGAACAATTCTATAGTCGCCAATAACCTAGGAAACGCAGTTCGTGTCCTAAACACCAACTCATGTTTACAAACAAACCGGAGCGCCTCTAGCGGACGCCACGTACGGGCGCCGCGCATGCGCGGTGGGGGTGTGGGCAAGAGCTCGCCGTCGCCCATAAACAAACCATTGAAATGCGATGTTGTCGACGTCGGAGTGAGTCCCTATGCTCTTTTTCGCGTTCGAATTGTTGATTCTACGTCTTCCTGGCGATGTTTGATTACTTGAGCGGCGTCAACGAAATTACCGGCGCTCGTTACTCCGCGAAACTTCGAGTGAATAATGTGACATGTGGCGATTCATTCCGCGTGGACGCCGCAGTATGTACGTTAAAACCTGATTCGCATGATGAGATTTCTCTCGTAATTTTCGGTCACGACGCCGCTCGGGCTGCAAAAGCGTAACCCGTCGCTGAGATAGTCGACGCCAATACTGAAAATCGCGTGCAGAGTCGGACCAAACGAATTAGCCATAGCAAGTCAGCGATAATCACTGGTAACAATGATCAACATCTCCTTGTATCTACTGTTTACATCGAGCCTGCTTACCAACCCTCAAACTTAAGTCTTTTGAGGCCTGCACTTACTTCTTATCGCAAGTACCGGGCCAACATTTGATCTACGGGCCGGCGTCGTCTAGGAGAGCAGACAAGCAGAAACGTTTGAAAGAACAGACGACAGTTCGAAAGATCAGGCGGCCGTTTGAACTTGAAGACGCACTGAGCGTAGTCCGCAGATGGTTCGTACAGCTTGACGGTTTTCTGGCGTTCATATTGGAACAAAAACAAATAAATCTGATGACCACAAGTATCCGTGGATTTAACCCAAAGTGCTTAGCGCCCAAGCGATCGTTGTCCGACGGCGTCTGCTTTTCCCCTTTTCACGGCACATATCCGAATTCTCGGACAAACCGAGCATGTGAAAACTGACCTTCAAACCTTTCTCGACTCTTTTGGTACGGCCCTAGTCCCGGCGTTTTGACGAGAAGGCAGGTTTTTGCTGCTTACTTTCAAAACAACGCAGGAATACACGTCTGGCATAGGGACTTCTGCCCACAGCCCCAGACCGGAAGTGCGACCGACGCGCCACCACCGCGCCGTGACGTCACAGAGATGAGTTCGGGTATAGACCATTCCATTTAGCGCTCTCTGGGGGGCAGCATTTTGTTTTACAGCAGCGCCCTCTCCATACATCCGGGAAATTTAGCGGGTTCGCCGGGGTAAAACGAGAGAGAGGGCACGCGCCCGACTCCGCTAGCAGACGACAAACCGGGAGGTTGCCATTCTCCATCTTTAAGCTGTACCGGCGGGCTTACACGGAACATCGAACTCTCGCTCGTGGCTTCCGTTGTGAAGTGGTTCGCGTTCTTAGAATAGTTATGGCTACTCCAAAATCAGCCTAGAGCTCTCTGTTGTTCTATTTCGGTAAATGATCAACTAGCATATTTTTTTTCCGTTACTTAAATAGCAGTTGAGTCAGCCGGGAGTATTAGCCTCAACTACTGCGTGTATTGCGGCAGGAGAGCACGTTTTTATTTATTATTTCAGACTTCCACTCATGGTCGCTAAAAGCCAACACCAGTACGAACTTTGTATAGTAAAAAAGGTACAGCAACCGTATTTACTTTTCGCTGGAGAGACCAGCCAACCTGACACAGTTTTCCCTGTTTTTTTTTTTTTTTTTGCACGCATGTAACAGCGCATTTGGACCCTGTTAGTCTTTTTATCTAGAATAGCATTACACAATAACTGGCATAGCAAAATCTTCGCATCTGCGCTTGAAATTTTCAAAATGACGCGATTTTAGACAGAGTTGGTACGCCAGCCGGATGCTAGGTACGGCCCCGTCGGCGGAGCAGACGACATACGGGTGAGAGGGGGAAGGCTTTTTTTTTTCTTTTTACCCTCTCTACTATGACCCTAAAGGAACGGTCAATACGTTCATACTTCTTGCCTCGTTTCATATCATTATTATAGGATAATTCCGCTATCTCATTGTTTAAGGAGCGTTAATGAGATCTTTGGAACTAGACACGCCCTCCGTTTCTTGTACTGCCAGTGGCTATAACGCGAACAGCCTGCTAAGGTTTCTCGGCGTATCTTCCAGTTTCGGAAGAAGCTTAGGCATAAACCTGCGTTGGAAGGTAAAGGTCAGTTCGCCCAGTGCCCCCTTGGCAAGTGCAAATATCGGGTGTTTTAGCGAAGACTTCCAGACATTTCTACAGGAAGGGTTATTCAGAAAAAAAAAAAAAAAAATGTCGTCTTGGTACGACGTGTTAGCCCCTGAGGAGGTCACAGATTGTAAAAAAATAGATGCAATTTAGCTGAACAATGTCACTAAACTTTACAACAGTTTAAATTGGTTAAAATAACCTATGTTTTCGTGAAAATAAACATGTGTATGAATGGAAACTTGCACTGAGCGTCATCGAAAGGCCCTAAATCACTCCATTTTTGGAGATTAATCACGCGAGAAGCATAGTGGTGAACTGAACGTTTCCACTCGTGTAGCAGGCACAAGGATGGCAATGCGAAAGCCTCAAAGATATGAATATCATTCGATTTTTTAGACGTTCTTTATAGAAACAGCTTTAATCAATTTTTTCGCGCTCCAAATTTTCTGCAAGTATCGTTTCGTTTCTCGAGCATGTCTTCTAGCCTTTAGAAACTTTCTGTTTCAAAATAGTTATCTACTTGTGAACAGTGGTCAACTAAACCCAAAATTACACGCCCATCGCCCCTGAGCCGTCCGCTCTACCCAGGCAATGCAGTATGAAAACTTTCCAAATTACGCTAGTGCATTAGAATGTATTTGAAACACCAATTATTGAAAGTCTAATAATGAGCTCATTTGTTTAGAAGAGAGACTTGTATCATGCTTTAAGAAACATGTGGTCTCAGAGGCCAAAGGATTAGGTGCCCTTGCCACTGAGATAGTAGAGCAATTCGGTGCGATACCGCGCTTCTGCCTCCTTAGTTAACCCTCTTACGTTTCCGGGCAACCCACCGAGACGGAGATTGTAATTGGTCTGACTGCGTTTATTGCATCTCGGCAGGAGGACGAAAAAGAGCCTCGAGCTGCTAGGCGCTTTTATCGGTTCAAACCCGGTAATACGCGCCGCTGAAGCAGCAGGTTCCCGGCGACGCACTCGCTAGCGTCGATAAGCGAGACCAACAAAACAACAATATAACAACCCGAATTAATGATAATCAAGGCACGGCGTATCTAAAGCCCCTTTATACGAAAACGTAGCGACATCCTTTAAAGAATGCTGCCTGCTAACCAGAACCGATCCAGGCGGCGCTACAGTCGATGCGCGGGTGTAAAAAAAGCAAAACATAAAAAAAGGGATGCGTGTCATAGGAGGAGAGAGATGGAATTCCTAGGCTGTGGGAGTGCAGCGCATGCTATGATCTCATGTCGCCAATCAGCTAACGCCGACTGTGCGACGTCACGGCTTTCATCGTCTTTCTTTGAGCACATCCTTCGCGGCTGGTAGACCGTAACAGGGTGCTTTTAGCCTGTGTGTAATGTATTTGTGTGTCTTTCAGCCTTCTCAAGTATTCGCGACTCCAGCGACCTATAGGGGGCGCCACCACCAAACAAACATGGCGGCTGAGTCCAGGTCGCGTCGGCTCGGCCGCGTCGCCTGAATGGGTGGCGCATTCAATTTAACAAATTTTCTTTTGTTGAATGGCCAATTTTATGGGTATTTGAACTGAGACAGTTAAGTGTAGCCGGTGCGCATAAACTTGCCCAGCATAGTTTTGTTTTGCTGGTGTTTTTTGTTCTTTTCATGTCAAAACTTTCGTTTCGGAGACTTCGATTAAAACCGAAACTATGGGCTCCGGAGAAACGGTAATAGACTCTAATTAGTTTTGATCATCTAAGGAAAGCGGCGAGGGCTACAAAATTGTTTCACCGATAGTAATTTTTAGCTAACTTGCATGCCTCGACCATGCGACTTATATGTCCGCGAAATTGAGCTTTTGTGCCTGTCCGCGTTTCAAGAAACAGCTGCAGTCGTGTGCTCGGTCAAGAACACAGGCTGGGGGAAAATTACAAAAATTAAGCAGCTTCTTGAGCCAAGGAGCATGTCAACTCGCTGGCGCTTCACTAAGCAGCTGATACTCGTATTTCAATTCAGGTTTTAATAGCAATCGAGAAGTCATTTTAACGAATATGCGGATTATGTATTATATTACGTACTATGTCCCACTAAACCGATATTAGTATATTCTTCGGGTGAAATATGAACTTAGTTAACTAACTATTAGGCGTGAACTGCTGAATGAAAGTATATTTGACAGACAGAGAGATACTACTTAAACTTAGCCAAATGGTTCTAGCCGGTAGAACGGAGACGAGTGCGGACAAACTGAAGAGAGTCTTCATTGGAGATTCACGCAGAACCTCTCTGCATTGAACTTGACTTCGAATCCTGAACGGAGAAAATGAGTATTTTTTGTGGCCGGTCAACCCGAGCAATACAGACGTATATTGCTGCTGGCTTCGACAGGGGTTATAAAATAAATATAGGAGGCGCGATAGATCCTAATGTCGTGACAGCTTCTATCTTTGCGAGACGCGTCCCCCACCTTTTGAAAGCAGATCATTTCCCTCATTAATCATATGCAGCGAGCAGGTTTTCTGAATCAAGTAATTGCGAAATTAGCCCAACTCCTTCAATGTGGACTTTTTCGGCGAAAAGCCGCCAAGATGAATAGCCAACGCACCGGCCGGCGTTAGTGGCTAAATCAACTTGAAGCTAATCGAGCAGAACCAAACTCAAGGAAAGCAGCTATCGAACCTTCCCATTCACTTGACTGCAACATTGGTGTTCTCTCCAGTGAAACACTTCGTCTGTCGACCTCAGTCCACTGTTCCACATCCTTATAAAGAAACCACTTATCAGCACTTATCAGTTACCAAGCAGTCGTCACTTTGAATGTGATTAGAGACAGACGACAAATCCAAACGTTTTTCCGTGATTCCTCCTCACACAAAAAATCGAAAGCACGCGACCGTGTGTTGCGGAGTAAACGGGCTTTGAAACACGTGATGGAAAGAAACAACCTACTGAGGCTTCACCACACTAATGAACACTCAGGCAAACTTAAGAAATTTTCGGACCTTCGTCAAATTACGTTGCTCGCCCCCGCGCCGACAGCACGTGTCCGCGAAAGCCATCAGAGACGCGGCGGGGCGCGGAGCGACCTGGACCGACTGGTTCCCGGTTTTCCCGCTTGGCGGCGTCCGTTTTGCTGGAGTCGCGAATAGGCAGGCCGCTTGCTATCTTGGGCCGATCCAGCCGTCGCTACAGTCGACGCGGGGGTGTAAACAAAACAAAACATAAAGATAAAAGGTGTGCGCGTCAGAGGAGGAGAGAGAAGATGTCTCCACCTTTCATACTCAGGGGCATTAGGCGTATCCAGTGCCGTTGTGTGCAGTACCTACAGACGCGTTGAGTATGAAGGTTTTTACTTCTACTATTTATTCTAAAAAATACCTTGGATTTGTTCCGGTTTTCGACTACGGTAATGAATCTGTCGGTGAAGAGATGTGTGCTGTAGTGTCCGGTCTCATTGAATGCTGGCGTCTCGTTTTCTCTGAAGTCGAGTCCAATGTGGTCCTGAAAGTAGAATAAAAATTATTTACGAACTCAAGGCATACTATCAATATAAGTCCTTTCAAACAAAGCAAAAATGATGACAAATTTGGTGGAGAAAACACACAGATAATTCCCTAGGTCCCCAGAGCGACAGCTGACCTTTCCCCAGGGTATTCACCTGAACACTGGAGGTGACAGCTAAAATTTTGCGGTGACTCTAACGTATACATATGTTTTTCACGTTAAGAGAAGGGCTGGGCACTTTGTCGATTAACCTACCGCTTAATCGATTAATGCTATCGCGATTAAATGTTTTACTGGTTAATCGGAAAAATCTTGGCTAGCAAAAGAAAAGTTCATGTTCAACGCTTTCACCATACAAACGTGGGCGGGTACACCTCTATGAAGGTAAACTTTGGGTGAAATTTTGACGTAAAGTAAACGTAGTGGCGAAATTTGTAACTCCAAATAAGTTGATACGGTTATACGCTCCAAAGTCAATTCAACGCCGTGCGAGTGCCCGTTCAGCGCAACAGAGACTATTGAGAGACTAAGGCAGTTCGCTATTGCCGGAGAATATCAACGAACCTCTATGCTTAGAGGCTTCACTTAAAATCAGAAACTACGTATATTCTGCCGTTCAAGCCATATTAAGCAAACGCAAACACTACATTTTTTTCTTTTTTAAACTCTTATGCACGAGAATGAAAAAAGCGTTAATCGATTGATTAATCAACTAAAAGGAGGCGATTAATCCGGTGAAATATTTTAATCGACGCACTTCTCTAGTTTGCATGGTTGTTACACTCCAAGCTAATTTTTAGCCAAAATGCACCTGTGCTTTATTTTTGTGTCTTACTTACACTGCCCGAGGTGTGGTTGTAGTAATCGTTGGAACCGGTGTAAAAACCAAAGAAAGTGTCGAAACCCCGCTTGATCGGCACGTATGGCGTTTTAAAGAATCCCAAGTGCCACTGGAAAAAAATAACAAGTTACATTTTACTTTCTCTGTTTATTAAATTGCGATATTTCCACCTTCGTATCTGAAAATTAAAATGCAGTGCCTTTATGACTGATGCTTATTTATCTAGGGTGGTGATGCAGATTTATGCTGAAGCAAATCGGAACATTTTTAAACAGGAAGAAAACGCTTCACTTCGGGTAAATTCATCGAGATTGATAAAACTATTGTTAAAAAAACTATCAAGTTGTGGTCTAGTGTGGACGAGTTAATTGTGAATCAGTACCATGGGGCACTACATCTCGGAGGCTCTAAGCAATAATTTGTTTACAGGATGTAGTGCTGCGATTTTCGTCACACGAAAGAATATGTGATGAAAACGTTCTTATTCCTTATAGTGTTTGTTAAAATTCAAATATACAGATTTGTCCCCGTCATAATATTGACAAACCTTTGTGTTTCTCTTCCCCGTTCAGTTAATGTTTTTTTTTTTTTTTTTTTTTTTTTTTTGCGCTCAGGCCAGTTGAATGGCATTGCATTTTACTGCTGATTCTTAAACTTCCTGATTGTTATCTGGCGAATATGTTTTGTTTTATTGCTATATATGTCCATTTAAGACGCACAGATATTTTTGTGAATACTGTGATAAATGACTTCGTCAACATCAGAACACACCACATTTAAACCACCAATCGTTTATTGCGGCCTTTTAATCACTTTACCCGGAGTGAATGGCTGGGTTGCTTTATTGCACTAGGTGACAGCGCACTTACAGTGACAAAATTACATCTGCCCTTCTTGCACGCTGATACTTCATGGCATTTGAAGCAAGATTGCACTCATGAAGCCCAATTGGTCAGCTGGTGGATGCTGGACCAGTGATTGGTGCTTATATTGGATGGCGGGACAGTATACATGCGGGCATTTCTTAGTGTCGGCTTTCGACTCTTTTAGCGGGACCTAAGTATATTTTACACAGCAATGCGATCAGAACAACTCATCGGTCATCCTCACTTGACCAGTTCACCCATTCGGCAGTTCATATTGTACCGGACTCCGGTGGTTGTTCAGTCTCAGAAGCCAAAGTGTGTCCAAACTGGTTCGCCACTTAGACCGAATTACCTCGCGAGCAAGATGCTGGTCAACAATTTGTTGGCTCATCTGATTAAAGGAATACGTTTGATTGGTGTTCCGACTGCATCATGGAATAGTAAACACGCAGGATCTTCCGCGTTTTTATGCTCTCGGGACTAAGAATTCAACATAAAATATTGATTTTCACTCCGCATTACTTTCCCGATCATGTTCACGTCGTAGCCCAAGTCTTTGAAGTGCTGCGGTAAAATCTTATTTTCCAGCGGCAGACCCCACGGTCCTGCAGCCTGGATACTGGTCAACTGCATGCCTGAAAGAATTAGGAAAAATTAAAGACGTGTTCTATGCCTAAAAGATGTCAACCGATTTTTTTTTCTCTACCTAAGGAACAGGAAAAATCAATATAATTCAAAATCGCACAAACAGTGTCCTTTCAAGAGACAAGAATTTACTTGAGCTCATTAGACAAAAAGAGGTGCAGCGGCTGGAATTTGTGGGTAATTGTTGAGCACCGTGGGAAACAGAATGTATGCACCCACGCTACTTCTTGCATATGCACCACTCTGCGATGCACTCGAAACAGATCATTAACAAACAAGAAATGAGAACAAGCTAAAATCGAAACACAAGCACCACAATTTACTCCCTTACACTGACGGGCTAAGGACTAAGGTATACGTGTAGAAGGACATTTGCAAAACAGACAGCAGTATCACAAACCTCACATGACATTGTACTCTGGAGGTAACACTTCAACAATTATCGTATTTGCTCCAGTAGTAGCCGCACTGTTTATGAAGAAAACCTGAGCGTTCGCTTTTCCGTAGAGCACACAGATTGCCAATCACTGCGATCGACAGCATGATTCCGGCTGTTAACAGGACAAAGCTGACGTGCTCATGCGAAGATAACATCTGAGAAGATTGCATCTGTATGCACAATCGTGTTCTCGATCAGGTTATTCGCTATGTTATTTATGTCCAACGCAATGATTGGCTGTATAAGTGTTCTGTGGGGACGTAGACGCACGGGCCTTGCTCATAAATAGTGTGGCTATTACTCGAGTAAGTACGGTAGATTACCTGTAACGATATGTGTGTTAACATTCGACTTGTTTTCAAAAAAAAATGTTCACATATTTGGCTTCTATAGAAATCGAAGACTGCTAAGTTCAAATGACAAAATGCCATGCTATGCATACTGTATATCGTGGATCTATAATGTGGAATAATGTAGAGTTAAAATTTGTTTCTACACTCTAAGAAATGCCTTCACGTCTACTTACCCGCAAAACATTCAAAGAGCCAATCATTGCTACCTAGGAAATCAGCTCAGCGAATGATGAGGCTTAATATCTGTTTAGACCTCAAAATTAAGTCTGCGCTGTGGTATTGCGCAATTCAGGCACGACGCTTTGCATTGCGTAATGCCACAGCGCAGACTTCACCTTTAAGTCTAAACGGATGTTCCGCCTCACCATTCGCTGAGCTGATATCCTAGATCGCAATGATTGGCTCTTTGAGTGTTTTACGGGTAAGTAGAAGCGCAAGCATTTTTTAGAGTGTCATGTTAAAAAGTGTTTCTTGTTACCCTCTTAGTGTTTATTGCACACTTCGACTTGCTTTGAGTCGTCAAATTATTGTATGTAATTTACATCAATAAACACGTTATTGAGCTCTAAAATAAATAATGCAGTTTTTTAATTTTGAAGTGTGTTGCGGGGATTTTTGCGTGGTGCTCGGTTTCGGTAAGAACTGCGATACCTCAAATGAATGAACGCTAATAATTTTCACGTTTGAAGTAATAGCCGGCAGCACTAGAGTGAGTACCAATGCTTTTCTTTTTCTATTTTTTAAGTTATTAAAAAATGGAGTCGTTCAATATACCATTGCGAATTGGATATAACCCAGTCATGAGTGCTGCTCTGGATGGGGTGCACAATGGCAGCACGTAATAGTTGTTGAGAATGACACCGTCTCCCGCCAGGACGTCGATATTTGGGGTCGGGATTTGCGTGGATCCATGGAAACTGACGTCTCCCCATCCCTGAATAAACCAAAATAAAACATATTCACTTAATCTAGCATGGCATAACAGAGTCTGTTATTGTACACTCTCAGAATCTCTTGAAAGTATTTAGTACAACGATGCATTTCAAACAAAAACTTATCAGTCTCCCTCGAGTCAGCCTACCCAATGAGAAGAGCGAGATTATCAGCCTCAGTGATGAAGCAAAAAAGGCGTCTCTCTCATTTTGAACTGAAATGATATTGCCACATGATCATGTGCAGTGCCAGAGCAGCGGCAAGAAAACGCTGCCGGACAATGCGAAGATCGGTTTTCGATTTTTCGTTTTACTAGGTACAATTTTAATGGTATTAAGTGATTAAAGAAATCCCATTAACGGGCGTTTTGAGTGCATTTAACTTTCTCAGACTGTTGCCAGCTACAAGATGTCAGGTCACTGCCTAGCCAAGACCGTACCGCTAATGTTCCTTCCAACCACGCAGGTGAGGAACGAAATGTTAGATACTCAAAGCTCGTGCTGTGCTCTGGGCATAGTTAGTGTTCAGGAATTACCGTCATCGAGCAAGGGTCGTCCGAGGACGCCGGCATATAACGATAAAGTTGCATTTAAAATGGCGAAAAAAGTCCATATTATTTTTGAAATCTAGCTTGGAGAATTCGGTGTTTTTTATATTTTTTTACATGATTGTGTTTTTTATACCAATATACGCATTATGATATTTTTATTCAATGTTGTAACATGGTCTCTATAGTACAGGAAGAGTTCTCTTAACATTAATGTTTTAATGTATAGCTAGCGACGAAGACGGAAATCTGACGCTCCTCTAATATTACAGAAATATCGCGAATCAGCCGTATAGTATATGAGAGATCCCTTAATGTTTATTTTAAGAACGTTTAGTCTAAACAGCTTTCTTAAACCCTTAGATGATTCTTAAAGTGGCTTTTTTTTCACAGAAATATGCGGCTTTTAGAACTTTGTAGGGGGGGAAACGTTGAATTTTTTATTAGTATGTGTTTTCAAGCCGCGAGGCTATGTCACCACACCGCTTCGGCTCGGGCCACGCACGCGCGCTTTTTACTCCATTCTATACAGTTGCTTTCATTGCCAATCATCGTTTTTATACAACAATATTTACAATTTTGGCAGATAGCAGATGACATCGTTGCTTGAAAATGAGACACCTGTTGGGTTTAGTTCTTGATCGAAGGGGCATTTACGATATAAAAGTAAAACAAACTAGAGCTCTCAGTCTTTCGCCTGCTCTTATGCAGTCAGACCTACCCTTGAAACATCAAACGTTCTCGCAATAGCGCGTAATTGTTTGTTGTTTGTGTACCTTTCTTTACCTCAGTGTATAATGTCCCGCGCAGCACTCGGATGATAAGGTTTGTTGCCATCAGTACAACCAATGATGAAGGCGATCTGACTTATGCACTTTCGACAATACAGTTGCAGTGAAAAAAGGTGGTAGACATCTTGTTCTCACTCAGACGGCTAGTACTTTAGCCAGAAAAATAGACGCTACTCCACTCATTTGCATTAGATAGCACGCCTATAAAGTACTAAATCCTCCCCTATTGACGTGTACAGACCGTACGCCAAAAGAACGCACGTGCATCGCGTGTTCCACGCTGTCGCACTTTCGTGCTGCGCTGAGGGAAAGGCGTGTAGTCGACGCATCGAGATAGCGGACTCGCAAAGACAGCAGAAACGGTTCTCTTCGCTGCCTCTGAGGTTGCCCTCGAAGATTGATGGCGGCAGCCAGCCCTCCCAACTTAAAGGGGAAACCCGCGAGCCTGCCCGCGTCCAGCCGTTCTAACTGCGCAAAAGCACTCGGTTCCAACTCCGTGAGATGTTTAAGGAGCAAGGTGTATTCGATAGAGACTTTCTACAAAAATCGCCTTCCGCACCCTGCCATCTTCGTCTACTGGATTGCAGAAGATGTTCTGAACGTGGGCTGTAGCTCTCTGCCACGGAATACGAGACTCCGCCCGTGCGTCCGCATCCCAGTGCCTCAGCATTTTTCGGCCGGGTGATAAGCACTGGAAAGGCCTGTAGTGACTGACAGCCGAAGAAACTCAAAGGCGTGACGAGTTCCTGGCTGTCTTATTATCGCTCCGCAAAGAACAACATCGACGCTTCAGCCGACAAAAACGCAAAAGAGCGAATCACGACTCAAGGCGAGTAAACATTATGACGAGCGCAAGTTCGTCTGCTTCTTGCGCAGGGGTTGCCGTGACGTCAGAATGCGGCGATCTCTGAATGGCTCCGATTGGAAGGGTAGTGGGTAGAACTCAAGGCAGCTACCATAGACGTCCACGCAGTATCCTTCCAATCGGAGCCAATCAGAGCTCGGCATTCAGACGTCACGGGAACCCCTGCGCAGGAAGCAGACAAATTTGCGCTCAACATAGGCCAGCCCCTGCCTGAGTTAAGCTGTCAGCGACTATGGTAAAGCATGTGGACGCGGGATCACTTTGAGCATCGGGAGCCTCGCATCTCATTATCGCTCTGAAGTCAATCGGACTGCGACATCAGTAGATGAAAATGCCGAAGAGCAATTAATACACAGAAATAATTATGATCATTATCCCCTCGAAGATGCGTCTTACTTCTTTTTTACTGCAAATCACCTGGAGATCCGTCCGTTGCAATGTACGGACGAAGCTCGGGGAATAGCAACACTGAAAATATGTTCAGGCATAAAAGAAAACAGCCCGCTGCTGCACTGAGCATAACATTCCAATCGATTTAGTCATGCTCGGTGTCACAGCAAATGGCTGTTTTATTTTATTCCTGAACACATTTGCAGCGTCGTCATTCGCCAAGCTCCGTCCGTAGATTGCAGTGATTGGTTTTTCCAAGAGATCTGCAAAATGCACTTATTACAGTGTTGAACATGGCTCAGTGTTCTTCATCTTTCGGTTGGCAGAGGTGGGGTCAAACTATGGCTTCAAAACACTCCGAGCTCTATGATCTTATAAAAATGCGACACTATTAATTTTTGTTTTCATTCTAAAAAATACTTTCACCATAGATGACGAGCAATTGTCACATTATCACGTCACTCAAGGACGGAATAGTGCCTATAAGCACCAAGAGTCATATAATCTACATTGGAGGTTCAACTTGCGCTTGTGTGTTGTTGCAAATTGAGGCAGACCGCAACCAGTCGAAAATTGACTTCCGGTAATTCATTTCTACCTGGTAATGCAGGTACATTTTTTCTCTGCGCTTGCTTCAAAGAGCGAACATTGCGAACACCTATAATGTAGCAAATATCACGAAGCATTTCTCAAACACGCAAATGAAAATATTGCTTATTTAGAGGGTTTTTTTTTTTTTTTTTTTTTTTTGTAATTCATTGAATTCAACGCAGTGCAAAAACACCTTCATACGTGCATATATCTGCGCTGTCACACACTGTTAGCCCGAAAGCGGCGTTGGCGTTTTTTCCGCATGGGGGATTTACGTGGCAAACGAACGAAGGACATTTGGAAAACCATGAGAGACAGCAAGAACTACCCAGTAACACTGCATAAATAAATTCCTCTGCATGTGGACGATCAAAACAAAGTGCGAGCCAAGTGATATAGTCAAATTTGCAATAAATAAGTACTCATTTATTCTTTCTGCTGATGCATATGTGCGAAGACGCTTGTTCTGCGATCAAGATTTATCCGCACATAGGAAATCTTTAAAAATACCAGGAGGCCAGAGAACAGGTTCTCGATAAAAACTGCCCGGCATAGGAAACAATAAAAAGAAACAGCTCGCATAGCCCATATACTTTAATATTTACGTTTTGAATCTTTTAGCCGCTCATACAGACGAGGTCACACTGCTCACACCCACCATACAAAAGACAATCTGCAAACACGAGTCACCGCAGTATTTGTGGTTCGAATGCCGCGTGCCAAGTTTTCTCCTTGAACTCATTTCCATGAGGCAGTCGAAGCACGGATTTAGAGGTGACGCGCGTTCGAATCTCTATGCAGATTGCACACTTGCTTTTCCTTCGACGTGGACCTCGATGTATAATAGCTACCTTAAGGTCTATCCACTATCCTTCCAATCGGAGTCATTCAGAGCTCGCGGCATTCTGTGTGATCCTGGCTTGAACATGTATGACGGGATCATTTTTAAATAAGAATAGGACCGGCATATTAGCAAAGTGCCACCGGAATTATGGCGAATTTTGAAGGCACACTATATTACCCTTATTGTGCTTAGAATCGTTGCTGGCTTTTGCACACCTGCTATGGTGCGTTGCGCTTGTCCTTGTCCACTCCCTCGTGTTCGTCCTCTGTGGTTGCGCATACAAGTTTACTCAATACCATGAACCAACTAGCCCAACAACGAGTCTTGCTAAACTATGTTTATTCTACAACGGGCCCTTTTTTTCAACGTTCCCTTCTCTACTACACAAATTAACCCCTTGATGAGCCACATTGTATATGTACCGGTCGGGTAAGATTCATCATCCTTTGCTTGAGAAAGAAACTTGTGCCTGCAGGTGTTAGAGCATTCTCTGCGAACGCAAAACCGTCTTGGGTCACGCCAAACGCATCAGCAAGATCTCGGGAGAAGAGCTGTGGCGGCAAGTCGACTGTTTTTTGTGTTTCTTTGTCTATCTACGTGTTATATGCCACGTTCTTGACATACACCATAGCTGGCTGAGATAAAGTTGCGTTGCGCATGTCCATGTCTTCTCTTTCATGTTCTTCTTCTGTGTTTGCGCATACAAGTTTACTCAGTACCGTGAACCAACTAGCCCAACAACAAGTCTTGCTAAACTACAGAACAGATGTTTGAGCCTTAAATATAGCGAAGTTTAACATCGTTTACTGGTAAATAAAATTATTGTAACTAAAGCAATTAAGCTTTCACGATGATAATAAAGGTGCACATTACTTGGTATGACTCAAATAACATAAGTAATTAATCTTATTTTTCGCGGGGACTCAAAATACAAGCGCGTTTTCTCATAGGATGGCACGGGAGCACCGCAAAACTAGACTGACTGCAGTTTGCTTTAATATGCACCCGGGAGGTCGCATAGACACCGACACTATTTGAACCTCTAGCGTACATTATAATAACTCAGTGCCGAGAGCCGAGAGCTAAAGGAAGCCAGTACCCGGGAACACAATTATCGGTTCTCAGTCAGAGTTATTGCAGCCGTGGCCAATAAGACACGCCCCACATTTCCTGAGCATTCCGTGTCTACATTTTGTACATCAATACAAATGCCGAAGACAACCCCCTGATAAAACAAATGAAACGTGCGGAATTTTCGTATCAGAATAAAATTGTAGACCCGCGTTGCACTAATATTAAGATCAGCACTCGATTTGTCAAACCGTGCGAATAAAAAGTAATATACACAGTGCTTCCCTCCACTCTTCCCCCCCCCCCCCCCCCCCCCCCAAAGCAAAAAAAAAGTACAATGTGTTTTGTTTTTGTTTTTATCGCAAAAATAACCTTATTCAACCCCGAACGCTTTTCTTTTGCCCAAATATAGAACTAGAGTTCCGAACCGGGTAACAAAGTTTCAGCACAAACCAATATCCAATTACAAAGTTGGTTTATTTTCTGAAAATTTCATTGGGAGAATGATTCCCATTTTTGCCCGCTTTCGGTTTCTGGTGCACTTGACGACGAGACGCTTCGGTGGTGCCCTCTTGTGGTTCCTATCCCTGACGTCACGGCCAAGAGTATTAGAAGCGAGCGACAAGTTCGAGGGTGCATAAAGAACGCAGTAAAATCCTAACCATCACATTCCTTAATCAGCACCTTCATAGCTGGGAGTCTGACTTTGCTCTTATTTCCTTTGACGAGAGCAGAAATAACTAGGGGTGTGCGAATATTGAATTTTTCGAATACGATTCAGACAAAAAACGGGCTTCGAATATCGAATCGAATATCAAATATGTGTCTAGTAAACAAAAATTACAAGACAAGAGGTAACCGCAGGTTTTATTGCCTTTTTTTTAAATAAATCAATGCAGCTGCATTTCACCGAGCTGCAGCAGGCTAAAGATACTTCTAGTAATGCACTCATTACAAATTATCGTGTAGGAAAATTAACTGCTCAACTTGTTCTGAAAGTAAGCGCTCTCTACGCGCCGTGACATTTCCGCCAGCAGAAACACCTTTTCACTCGGTAAACCTGCGAAAATTAACTTAAGTTTGAAGAAGTTCGACTTATGGACAGTGTTGCCCGGCTGCTACACGAATATTTCAAATTTTGGAAAACAAAAAATTTAGAAAGTAGTTTATTTTATATTTTATAAATGGTTACCAATGTTTACACCATATAAAAGCGAAAATATGCACTTTTAACGCTTTCATTGGTTATTAATGTGAACCAGTGATGCGAATAAACCCAACGAATAGTGCATTTTTCCTCCGCCAAAAAAAAATTACTAAGTTCTTTTTTTTTTTTTTTGGTTTTCGCGCATACGGATAAAAGTCGAGCTTTAGTTGGACCTTTGTCGAACATCACGTTGAAAGTTCGAAAAAGTCGAACTTGGTCGCACTCGAACCTGGGCAGGTTCCCGACATCCCTAGTTTTGACTGCGCGGGAATGGCAAGAGTTGTTGGCGATGGCGATGGAATGTTCTGTTCACACCTGGCTTTTTCTTTCTTTTTTTTTAATTTTCAAACATTTATATTAGATAACACTCTCGAGACTTATTTTATATTTATATTTCCTTCTCCAGGTTTATTTTATTGTATCAATTTTAGAACGCGCAATTACATCGCATATGCTATAAAAGTGCCACATAACAAAGGGCTTGGTGAAAAAGAAACCGAAACTGATCCTGTCTTGCTGCCATCGGACAGATAGAAACGGACCAGACCGATAACGCACGCATCATACGCCTTTCTCAAAGAATAAACATTCATAGGGAAATGCGTTGCAGGCAGATTATTCGTTACTTGCTCGAATATTCGCAGTTTGTGCGAGTATTCGCCGCTTTTCCCGGATATTCAGCTTTGGCCGAATATTCGGGAACTTCAGAACATGCAATTTTCGAATCGAATACATGTCGAATAAGGAAAATATTCGATTCGTATTCGAAATTTCGAATATTCGCACACCCCTAGAAATAACCCTAATCAAGACGTCAAAGTGAGCGTTTGAAAAGTCGTACAAGGCCGATCACAGCGGCGGTTTTGGTCCCGCACGCCACCAATAGAGCTCCATGTAATCGAGAGTTCCCTCGGCCGCCATTTTCCTATTGAAATAAAAAAAAAAAAACACTTAAAACATTTTAATAGGATAACGGTTACTATTGAAACTTGGGCATCAGATTCTGACCTCTTGCAGTACGTTTGGGTGGATAATGAGTGTTCGGTGATGCGTAGCTGATTTTTGATTTTTAAAACAATTCCGGTAATACTTTTTTTGTAGGGGCACACCATGTAGGAGGGCTCCTTGTAGTGTGCAAAAATGACTTTAAAAGAGCAGTCTCACCAAATCATCACCCAAAATGAACACTATGTTGGGACGCTTTGCGTGGCATTGTAGGATGGTACCCAAAAGGAATACAGCGTCCAGTAGTATTCTGCAAAGAACAAACCGACCACAGCTCAGAGACAAGTACTTTTACGTTCGGTACTGCCGTTTTAAAATGTGATTAACAGTATTCTCACTAATGTAGAGGCAAAATTAGAATGGGATTTTTCAAGTTGGTATCTTCTGTTCAGTAGCTCTCAACCTAGAATCACGGAAAATTGTTTGCACCAGGAGAGCCCAATACGATATTGCATTCAGTTGTAATGAAGTCAAGACAGAAGGGAGACGGTAATGTCAGACGTGTCACACTCTCACATGTTACTGCCCGTGTACTGATGCACGACCGACTCGGAACAATAATCATTGGTATTCATTTAATCTGTTAAACAAGCAAGAAGAACTATTGATTTTATGTCCTTCATCTCTATCATTTCTTCTTTCTATGTTTATTTTTTTTTCTAATGTCAAAGAAATTTCATTGATTGCGCAGACTCACTAGCAAACGACTTTGTCTCTTTTTCACCACTACAACTGCACAATGATTAGAGCGATATTCCGCTGAAGCGTTTTATTGTCTACAACGATTGAAAGAATACCAATGATTGTGTTCCGCGTCAATCGCAGGACAGTATGCATTCGAGAGCTTTTTCCAAAGTGTACAAGACTGTATACGCATTTTGACTAATTTTGGTAAAATGTTATGAGCCAAGAATTCAACACTAGTCGAGAAAAATACGTGGTTGGCAGTTTCGGTTTTTATATGTTTGTGCTACTTTTATTTAGTAAAAAATAACGTAAAACAAGCTGCCTACTTTAAAACGTACCCGGCTACTTTGTTAATACTAAAGTAATTTTCTGAAACTGGAAGAAATAACTGCACGAACAAGCGAGGCTGTAATCGTCTCTATTATTTTCGTCGAAGCCATGTTACATCGTGCCATGACTCCAGCGTATTTCACTATGCGCGAACCTTTTACATTTACTTATAAGCATGAATACTCCTTTCCCCACAATGAGCTCAGTCGTCACAGTGGACCGGAGTTTTAATGCTGCGCTTGCCTTTCATAATATGTCCTCTAGAAATATTGCCGCGCGCAGGGTCACGGACTTGTAGAAAGTCCTCGTTCATTCTTGCTGCGGACATAACTATCGTTTATCCCTGCTTTTGTTGTTCTAGAAAGTGCTTGTTCATTCTCGCCCCGAGCGCGCTACGCTCTAACCTTCTTCGCCGAATCTTCGAGATAGTGACTCACTCTAGATAAGAGGCCGCCCGCGACCTTGGCGAGTCAGTTTCGCCCCAGCGTTCGACTCTGCTCTTTCGCCGACTTCGACGCCCGCGACGCTCTACTGTTATCTTTTGTTTCCTTCTTTATTTTGGGCACAATTTCGCCCGATTAAACGTTTAGTTTATTCAGTTATTCGACGCCTCATCCCTTGTCATTCGTGACATTTTGGTGGAGGTGCGGGGTAGACACCCTATGTTTCTCAACAGTACCCCTCCGAGGACCCGTTCGGCAAGTCCCACTCCAAGTCGTCGACTCGTGGAAGAGGCAGGGCCTCAGGCAAGCCAGCGTCTGCAAGGACAACACCCTAAGTTTGGACCACTGCCGGACAAAACAAAGAAGCTACCGAAGCCCACAATGAACTCCACGGCACAGCCGACGGAAAACCACCAAGCAGCACCGTCCTACGTCTTCCTGCCTGTGGTTCCCCGTGTGCCGATGCCATTCCACGGTGAAATCTACGAGGACGTAGAAGACTCGCTGCAGCACTGCGAACGTGTGGCTCGCTACAACGCGTGGACGGCAGAACAGCGCCTCCAAAACGTTTACTTCGCACTGGAGGGAACGGCAAGACAGTGGTTTAAGAACCACGAGGCTTCCCTCACGACGTGGGAGACATGAGTGGAGGAGCTAAAGCGCACCTTCACAAACCAACACCGACGTCAACGAGCCGAGGACATCCTTCAAAGAAGATGCCAAGGTCTGAACGAGAGCGTGACAAGCTTCACTGAAGACGTCCTGCGCCTGTGCGCCCGTGCCGACCCTGGAGCCGCCGAAGACAAGAAGCTGCACGTCCTCATGAGACGCGTGAAAAGCGAGATTTTTGGCGGCCTCGTTCGCAATCCACCGACGACCGTAGATGAATTTGTTGCTGAGGCAACTAACATTGAACGAGCGCTGTTGGCCAGGGCGAGTCATTATCAGAGAGTCGCCGGCGTAGCTGCTACCTCATCCCCTCTATCTTCCCTCCCTGACCTCGGCGAAGTTGGCATCGAGAACCTTCGGGAGGTCATTGGGGATGTGGTTCAAGAAGAACTGAAGCGGTTGCTCCCTTCTCCAGAACGACCAGCCGCTGATTCAATCGCCGACGCTGTTCGCGAGGAGGTACACCGGGCCCTCTTACCAGAGGTCCCCGTCGCCGTGGCTCCCAAACGGCCGGTCCTGACCTACGCCGCCGCCGCCAAGATAGAACCTCCCGTCACAGCACACTACCAACCAGCTCCCAGACGTGGGGCACCGGCGCCGCAGTATGCCCCACGCCCAGAGCAGCGTGGTGCGAGGAAGACCGACATTTGGAGGACGGCCGATCGACGCCCCATGTGCTACCACTGTGGTGAAGCGGACCACATCTACCGACGATGCCCCTACCGCCAGCTGGGCCTAGGAGGGTTTGCGCCCAACGACCCTCGACCACGTCTTGGAGAGCGACCTCGGGACATCGAGAACTACCTCCGCCGCTCTTTATCTGCTGAGTCGTCTCCCCTCCGGGTATTCCGTTCACTATCTCCTCGACGCTCGCCATCGCCCTTCCGCCGGTCTCGCCGAGACAGCCTGTCACACATCGCTTCCCGTCGGGAAAAGTAGGCGCGGCAATGCCGGGAGGTGGCGTTGCCGATGACGAACGATGCCAAGATCCTCCAAGATGGTCGGAGCTCTCCCACTCAAACGCCGCAACGCCCCGAAACGACGTTGCTGTATCAGTGTCGAATAACCTCAACGTTATCATCGACGGCCACGACGTGATGGCACTCGTCGACACCGGAGCAGACTACTCCGTTTTGAGTGGGAGGCTCTCCCGCCGCCTTTGAAAAGTCATGACGCCATGGGATGGACCTCAAATACGAACCACCGGAGGACACTTCATTACACCAGTCGGGACATGCACTGCTCGCATCGAGATCCACGGTGAGACGTGCCCTGTGAAGTTCGTCGTTCTACAAGACTGTTCCAGAGGCGTCATTCTTGGCATGGACTTCCTGTGTGCATACGGCGCCGTCATCGACCTTGGTGAGAACAGATTGACGCTGCGCAAGCCTGTTCTACCTTCAAAGAAACCCCATACAGCGTCAGCCGCCGTCCGAGTCGCTGCCGACCACGTGAACTTGCCGCCGCGGTCGAGTGTTTTCCTACTTGTCGGGATCGATGAAGCTTCCTGTGGCGAAGGTCTTCTCGAGGGATGCCTCCAATTGCTCCTGGGAAGAGGAATAGGCGTCGCAAGAGGAGTCGCTGAACTTCAGGATGGCCGCACTGTGGTCCTCGTGACGAACTTCCGGAATGAAACGCAACACCTCACAAAATGTGCAGCCGTTGGCCACGTCGAGGAACACCGAAACTCCGCCGAAATCACAGCTATTACTGACGAATCCTCACCACCTCAGCAAGACAATATGTCGCCACCACAGTTCGACTTCGACCCTAAGCTTCCGGACCCGAAACGACGGCAGCTGATTAACCTCCTCACCGAATACCGTGACTGCTTTGCGACGTCGTCGAAGGTGCGCCAAACAGCCGTTGCGAAGCACCGTATCGTTACCGAGGACGACGCGCGCCCTGTGCATCGATCACCGTACAGAGTCTCCGTTAAAGGAAGGGAGGTGATCCAGGAGCAAGTTCAAGAGATGCTGAACGATGACATAATCCAGCCATCAAGCAGTCCGTGGGCCTCTCCAATCGTACTGGTTTAGAAGAAGGACGGAACGCTTAGGTTCTGCATGGACTACCGACAGCTGAACGCGGTAACGAAGAAAGACGTCTATCCACTCCCCCGCATCGACGACACTTTAGACCGGCTGCGCCACTCCCGATACTTTTCATCGATGGACCTAAAGAGCGGCTACTGGCAGATCGAGGTCGACGAACGGGACCGAGAAAAGACAGCCTTCGTCACGCCGGATGGACTGTACGAGTTCAAGGTGATGCCCTTCGGACTGTGCACGGCGCCAGCAACTTTCCAGCGTGTAATGGACACCGTACTGGCAGGACTGAAGTGGCAGAGCTGTCTCGGCTACCTCGACGACGTCGTAGTGTTTTCCGGCCACTTTGACGAGCACTTGCGACGACTCCGAGCTGTTCTCCAAGCCATACGGACCGTTGGACTCACTCTGATGCCGTCAAAGTGTCGGTTCGCCTATGACGAACTGAAGTTCCTAGGTCACGTGGTTAGTAACGAAAGCGTTCGCCCCGACCCAGAGAAGACTCGCGCCGTCGCAGCATTTCCAGCGCCGAGAGACAAGAAGGCCGTGCGAAGGTACCTTGGACTATGTGCCTACTATCGGCGCTTCGTTCGAGATTTCGCAAGGATTTCCGCACCGCTAACAAAGCTCACAAAGGACGCCGAGAAGTTCGAATGGGCCGAAGAGCAGCAGCAGGCATTCGGCGAGCTGAAGCGACGACTGCAGACTCCTCCTGTTCTTGGACATTTCGATCAGGATGCGGAAACCGAAGTTCACACGGACGCAAGCAACGCTGGACTTGGCGCGGTACTGGTTCAAGTGCAAGAAGGCACCGAGCGAGTTATCGCCTACGCGAGTCGGACACTGTCTAAGGCGGAGAAAAATTACTCCACGACTGAGAAAGAATGCCTTGCGGTCGTCTGGGCAATCACGAAGTTTCGTCCGTACTTGTACGGGCGCCCGTTCCGTGTTGTCACCGACCATCACTCGCTCTGCTGGCTTGCGAACCTCAAGGACCCGTCAGGACGCCTCGCTCGATGAAGTCTCCGACTACAGGAGTTCGACATGACTGTGGTCTACAAGTCAGGCCGCAA